ATACTTATCAATCTTGCAGTCTCTGTCTATAGCTTGGGCTGCTTTTTGCTTGGGCTGCTTTTGTGTTAGTTTTTTTCTTTTTTTTTTCCTCTTCTCCTTTTCACACATCAGTATTGTTAGTACAAATCTTGCCTGTATCCACAGTTACATGTGGACAAACTTACTATCTTGAAATCAAATTCTGGGCTGTTATTTTTGTACTATTGCCTGCTTGTTAGTGGGCATCTGGATTTGAATCTTAATATGATTTAGGGTGGATAGCAAACCTTAAAGTAATTTTTCAGTTTTGTGGTACATTGGGGAACTCCCAGTGTACATTTCACAAACTCCTTAGTTATTAGTGGTGATACCTGAAATTAGAGTGATGCATAAATAAATGTGTATTGCACTAGTAGCAATAGAATCTGAAACAAAAGCTCTTATTTTTAAATAAGAGAGTCCTCAACCATAGTTAACTAGCACTAGTCAATTCATACTAACTACTCATTTACTTCCATGGCATAATGTAATTCTGGACTAGCTCTTTGGTGAATGAGAATACAATGTAAAACAATAAAACCCTCAAAACCAAGGAAACAAATTTCCCCATCCCTTAAGAAATGAAAAGAAAGAAAATGTAGGCGTATGACTTGAGATACACATGAGAACCAGATGTGGCAAGTAAAAAGATACTCACTTTTTCCCTTTTGCACATGCCAAGTAAAAGCACAGCCTAAGCCCGTGGGTGAGAAAATTGCAGTGAATTGCCCAGCTTATTTTATTTCTATTTTTGAAACTTAAATCTCCATACAACACCCAGAACCCCAGGAATCAGAATCTAATTTTTGAGCCCCCAGGCTATTATCTGCAGCTGTGCAATGTTAGAGCATACTTTGGATACATCAATATTTGAAGGCACAGGCTAATTTTTGTCTAGTAATACAATTGTACGTCTGTTTGCTGATGTAACCCTGTTATCTCTCATGTGACTTGCACAAGCAGGTACAAGCTGCAAAGTAGTGAACCCCTCATATCTGATGATGGTCATCCACTCACACAGATTAAAACCAGTAAATCTCAATTTACTAAGAATACCCATGCAGTTTTGATCAGCTAATGATACTCAGGTAGTTTGGATTCAGAGATTTGGAGTTCTTATTTTATTTGAGAGTAGGTGATGGGTAGATATGCTATGCACGAGGCAGACACTCATCTGCTAGACATGTATGTAGGTTGGACTGCTTCAGTGCTGTATGGAGATACATCCTGATGGAATAACAAAATAAGTCTTGCTACATTTTTATAAAAGTATTTCTTGCTGTTGTTACTGTCAGCCTCTCAGTCCAACAACGGAGAATTTCTTGGTATTTTGAAGAGCTTGTTAGGAAGTACCAAACAAGGTTGTTCATACTTCTGGAGCAAAGGGCTTCTCTGACAGTGACTAGTCTCTTTCTTTCTTTCGCCCCTTCCTTTCTTTCTCTTATTTTCTTTCTTTTTTTCTCTTCCTTTCTTTTCTTTCTTTTTTTCTCTTCTTTTATTTTCTTTCTTTTTTTTCTCTTGGCTCCAAGTACACAAATGCACTCAGCCAGCGTTCATGTCTGTTTCTCAGAAGTGTTGAGAGATCTCAATATCCTCTTTTACACAGGCTTCAGTTAAAAATTTTAGTTTCTGTACAGGAATTTTCTGAGTTGTAAAGAAGACAGGTACTTTAGGGAGTATGGAACGAATCTTCGCACATGGGACAAACCAGAAATCTGAGACATATAGCCTGCTCTTACACTAACCTGTCAAAATTGTAACTAATAGGGATATGGGAGCCACATGGAATGAGAGCTGCATGGTCCCACTGGTATGTGGCACTCTGCTTCCTGCAAGGTACTGTTTAGCATGCAAAGTACAAGTCATGAATCTAAAACCTCTGAACGGGAAGGTATTCATTCATATAAAAGATTTTTTTCCTTGGGACATAATACCTTTCAGTGTACACAAGCTGGAAACTCATTCAAATATTAGAAAGTCAACAGAAGGCAGAATGTTATCTGAGAAAGCTTGGAACTGGTAGTCCCAAATCCTCCTACTTCAAGGTGGGCTACATCTCGATATATTTGGTTCCTGAGCAATGAGAAGGAGGATGATAGCAGGAGCTCATAAATTTCACAGTGCACAGTAGCTGATTGGTTAGATTATACATTAAGTGCTGGGTGAAGAGGAGCTTTTTTTAGAAGTAGACTGTTTTATAACTATATTTTAAATGTTTCATGGAATGCCTAAAGCAAAAGATAGCATTTCTTTTTAATCAGGGTATTTATTTGTTGAAATAAATGAATAATTTATTTCCTTGCTATCTTGGTTGTATGTCTTCTTTCTGTGGATCCTTGTCAGGTTGTACTTCAAATGGATATTTTTAGACAGCAGTGTTGGTCTTGGGGAATAATTGAAGCATAGCAGTAGGTGAGTTATATGTCCCTGTAGTTGGCCTTTGGACCTTTTGAATGTCAGTTTTTATAGTAATTTCGTTACTCGAAAACATGCCATGGTGATTAAGTGTTCACATCTTTTATCCCAGCAAATCAGTTGCCATCTTTGCATTGATCAGTCAGGAATACTGCAAGCCTTACTATGTTGTGTTCAGCTGTCTTTGTGATATACATAAAACAATACAGGGCAATTTTTCCATCTGACCTTCCTTCAGTCTGATCTTGTCTCTATTTTGTTAATGCAGATCAGGTAGTGTGACTCAAAGGGGTCTGAATGCACGTCTTCTGAGTATGTTTATGGATTTTTGTCTACTTATTCGTCTATTTATTTTGACAGTGGCTTGTGTGCATATGTTTTGTGTATTTATTTGCACGCCTGCATGTACTTGTCAAAATACCTTCCAGAGTTTGCTTCCAAAATGCTGGACCTGGTTCTCAAACTCATGCAATTACTTTGTTTTAAAAGACTTGTGGCAAATATAGGTAAGTGAAGGAACAAGTGCAATCCAAGAGTGTTTTAGTGTTGGAGGTCTAAACTAAAGGTTGGTGAAATAATGAAACTTCCTTAACAAAAAATCACAGGGATACCTTTCAATAGTCATACCATTTACAGCATAGTTAATTACAGAAGTATCTCATATGAAATAAATAATGGGCAAAATTAATCTATGAAAGCATCCTGGACTAAAACAAAATGTCACAGCAAGAAAACAGGAAAATATTGATCGTTGCTGTTTATTGGCATATGTTAAATTATTTCAGCTGATTGTCTCAAGTGATGCTAAAGAATTTAATCTCCAAGAAAATGAAATCACCCTCTGAAATAATTAAAAATAGACTTAATGGCTTAACTTCCTTCATCAGAGTATGAAAATGTAGTTGTATATGTTTTAAGTACTCAGACAGAAGTATATGTAAAAAAAGGAATTTATTTGTAGGATTATCTAATAAAGTACAAGGATTATCTAATTTTGTACTGATAGGTGACAGTTTGAGAGTATGATCTTTAGCTTGAAAGCTCTGTGTTCCAGGATCTCTTTAGACAAGACACTTTTTCAAAAAACATATATTTGCAGATTTCTAAAATATTCTAGGAAATGGATCTTGAGATAACCCTTTTCAGAAACTGTGTGCTATAATAATGCAAGTTCAAACAATTTAATGTATGAGTCACTTGATGTTCTAGCTAATTTTATTCAATGTTGTGATGACTTCATAGCACTTGATAGAAATAAATTAGTAATAGTGAATATGTGAAAACAAACTTGATATTCCCTCAGCTTGTAAACATTTTATGACATACATGTTTCTATGGAAAATCTTTACTGAAATTCTACATATTACAGTTACTGATCTAGTCATTCTCTGTTTAAAAGATTACCTTTTCCACAAAAATAAAATTCCCAAACAGGAAAAAATTGTGTCCTCTCTTGATTTTTGCACCAGTTTCATCCCAAATATGTGTATTATGCTGTGAAGATAGAAAAACTTATACAAAAGCTGATATAAAAAAAACCCAATGCTATAGTAGCATCATGATCATCATTATCAGGCTCATGATGTAAAGACTGCTCTACAATTCCCCAGACTTTCAAAAGTCCAGTGTATGGCTAAATACTTAATCTACATGCAAAGATACTGCCATGGGTTATGCCAGTCATGAGGAAATTTGTGCAAAGACACAATCTAAATATCTGACAAGAGCTTTAGCTACAGTAGACTTCAGCATATGCAAGTTATGCCCACTTTTGGAAGCAAATCTAGGAGATTCACCTGAGTTTTTTTCTCACTCCCAGTGATAGACACTGTTGAATTTTAACGTCTTTCATAATGGTACTCCCTTTTTTTCCACAGAGATGCAAGGCAGAAATCTTGGTCAAAAAGTCTGAGCTTGTCTTAATATTAGCTAACCTTCATGTCATTCCTTTCTTGAATGACCCTGTTAAAGCCATTTCCCAGCATGGATTTTTAGTATATTGTATTGGCATTTTCCACCTTTTTACTACTATAATAAATGAAAATACTAAATCACATCTATCCCTTAACTGTTTATTAAGAAATTTGGTTGCTGATGTTCTTTTCAACTTTCCCTGTTATAAGTTGCCTTTTTGTTCTAATGAGACTTCATTTTCTCCCTTTTAAATAACTTTGTCCTATTAACCAATACCAGATAAATTCCCTTTAGCACACTTCCTTTCTCATTAACATTATTGTTTACTTTGATTGCATCTAAAGTGGACCGATTAAGATAGAAGAAAACAACATAAAAAGCACATCAATGCATTATAAATTGAATGTATTATAGTGACCAGGTTAAACATAAAACTATATATTGAATGAAATGTGACACTTAAATAAAACAAAATGTTTATGGAACAAATCTGTGATGTAGAACAGCATAAGCACAACAACCTACTTTAGACATAGGATAAATGAAATGGAAAAATAAAAATTGCACATTGTCTTTTAATGGTTAGTTGAACTTTCTCCCAGAACTCAAGCCTAATTATAATACATTTTCCAACTGTTTCTTTTTCCTTACAGTACTTGGGCTGCATAGAAGTCTTACGGTCAATGAGATCTCTTGACTTCAGTACTAGAATGCAGGTTGCAAGGTAAGATTTTGTACAACTATGTTTTTTAAAGTAACTTCTGAATTGTGTCCCCAGAGTGAACAGGCCAGAAAGATGGCAAAACACATGGTAAAGGATTTTTTGATACCATAAGTCCACTTTTAAATTTTGCTTTTACATGTAAATCCCTTATGTGGTATTAATACAGTTTCAGCAGGACTTAAAAGCTATTTTCTCTGTGGATTTTTGACATGCCAGGAGCTACTTTAGAAATTTTTTGCCTGTTAATTGTGCCAAGTAAGGCACTTATCTGGGTACCATTTTAATGGCATTTAAGCCAGTGAGAATTGGAATATGCTTAAAATCTATGATCTCAAAATTAATCTAGGGAGCTGGTTTGGAGCCCATGTTTATGGGTTTTATAGTAATTTCTTACGAAAAGTTTTCAGATCATAAACTACCTGCATAAAGAATATAAAGGATAATATATCACCATAATGATACCAGAGACAAAAAAAATATATTTATTTTCAGACTGTATGTAAGAAACAATAAGCTTGTATTAAGTTCTTATGACAGTTCCTTTTAATGTGTCATAGTATTTTTGTAAGAGCAGTATATAAGAACAAGACTAAAGAAGTAGAAATGTCCATTACTTTTTTTCCTATGAAGAATATTTTCTAAGAACTACAGGAATGGTGTTTTGCAGGCATTTTCACATGAAAAGCTGAGTCATTGATTTCAGAGGAATGTAGTGTTGATGTCTTCTAGCAACTGGAGACCACTTTTTCAAATTCTGAAATTGAAATGATAAAAGAAATCCTTTTCAAAGAAACACATATAAAGTGATATGACTGGATACAGTGCTTGAATTTCAACCCTTTGAGACATCTTACAGTTGACAATAAATAAATCTGTAATAAGCCATATATCATACCATAAACAGCTAAATATTTATTTTATTAAATGAGAACGATTACTTTTTTTTAGGCTTGGATGCTAATCATGTGGTCTCTATGCATTGACTTTGAGTTACACTTGCATACAGCAGCTTTGAATTGGGTCATGTAAGTCCTTACAAAAAGTTAACCATTAATTTGTCAAGATACTGCACTGATGAGAGGCATAGAAGCCAAAGGACAGGTAAATGACAGAATCCTGTTTTTCAAACAATGTAGACTATGGAGGCATTTGATAATTTCAATACTGTACTTTTAAAAATGTATCATGTACATTTGTGATGTATTTCAGCAGTGACCTTTGAAAATTATTTCATATCTAAGCAGATTTGTAGTTCTAACTTAGGTGGTACATTTGTGTTTACCACTTGGAAATTCAGTGTTACTGGCTTATGAAACAGTTGTAATAATTATTTGGCTTGTTTTCTATATCTGTGAATTAATCTTAATTTTTCTGCACAGTTTCCTTCACTGTATGCGTTCATTGTAATAGTGTTGTACTTTTCTTATTTTCTAGCTTAAAGGCACTACTTTGACATGAATACATAAGCATATTTGGTGATCTGAAGCAATATGGTCTATGTAAACAAAATATCTTTGCCATGTAGTTCCTCCAATAAAAAACCAAAAAGTTTATTGGCTTCTACTGTGAAACAAACTTGGAATTAAAATTTTTTGTGTTGAAAAGTTGAAGTTATAGCATCTATCAGTACATGAAATTATTTTGTTATTCCACCTTTCTCTAATTACAGCATAGAATATTTTTTTTTTCAAGCAGGAAGCCATATCTTCCTGGTTCACTTTTTATTTTGTATTTACAGTTTTCTATTTATCATTAAACAATGAAATCTCATAATTTTTGTAGTGTAGTTCCTGATCTAAAATTTTTACGTTTTTAGGTAGCTTTTGAATCAGGACCTAGGATCTTAATCTGCATTTCATTAATTTGTCTGGCTATAGAAATTCTCTTGTCATGTCCTAGGTTTTCAGCGCTCACATGCTTTGCTATGTAACACTTCACATTCAAGCCTGTTGTTTATTAAGATTATATTAAGGAATTGCTAGAATTCACACATGCTAGTTAATTTCCTGGTATGTTTTCAGAAACATAATGTAGGCCTCAAGGCATGTACTGAATTAATAAGACTGATGTTCTAATATTACAGGCACCAATTCCCTCTTAAGAAGGCAGCTGGTACCAAAGCGTCTGTGCAGCCTTTTGATTACAAATAAAATAAAAGCACCTGAAAGTTACATTTATGTCTACTACATCATACATGTATTTTTAGGTATGTCCATTGCTGATTTCTCTGCAGCTTGCCACCAGTAAAAAAAAACTGTCCTGGTAGCCTGATGGCTCCTGAATGAGGTGTGGCCAAGGCTTAAGTCTGTAGTGTTGTTAGCCATGACTGCATCAGCCAAGGAGCCAGGGTCCATAGCTGAAGTAAAAGCTTCTCTGTGTAAACATCTCTGTGCTGTTTCCTCTAACCAGAGAAACAGATGCAGCTGCAATCCCTTTCTGATCCACAACTTTATAAATTGATCCTTCTGCATGCATCACACCTGTTGGATCTGTTATTTTTTCAATTCCTTTCAAAACCAGTCACAGAAGAAAGTGATCTGTCTTGGACTGATGTGACTTCTGGTATTATGCAGTATTTACTAAGAAAAAAAATTAGTGAAGTTACTTGATTTATTGTGAAAGCCTGGATGCATTTCTTCCTAATAAGTAGGCATCATGTTTGACACATACAAAGCACTTACTCCCTTTCTAGCACTGCATCACATGCCTGTCCCTGCCTCCTTTGTTAGCCTTACTTTTTCTCCATGTTGCAGAGCTTAAACACAGGAAGTCAGTTATTAGGAATCCTAAATTTACCTGTTTTCTGCCTTCAAGTTTTTGCATATGTCACTTTATGTCTCTGTCAGCTTTGAGGATGAGCAAATCCCCAAAAGTAAAATAAGCAGTAAAAATTCCTAGAAGAAAAAGCTTGCGGGGCTCAGTAATGGGAGGGTAAGACATGTAGTCTCCTGCTCTGCTTGAAAACTCCTGGTGTTATTTTAGACAAACTGTTAGTCCCAGTCACAGACAACTCTGTGATTAAACAAATTAGTGCTTGTAAATGGCACTTAAATTGTTGAGTGAGCACTTAGAAATTACTTAAAAAATGGACTGAGATTTCCACTTATCTGGTGAATTAGAGGTAAGAAGTTCATGGGGAAAGGTTGTGTAGACAATTTGAATGGCTTTAAAATCACAGTTGTTATAATGCATTAGGAAAGTATGTACATCTGTGCGCATGCATGGACGTACCTGACAAATGAAGAAATTTGGCTTCAATTTCAGGAACTGTATCAAAGCTGCTACTTTGGTCAGCAGCCTTTCTTTCCTTCCTTATTGCAGTCCTGTGAAATACTGACTTGTGACATCTAATGCTGTCTTACCTATCCTATCCTGTAACTTGTATTTGTTTTGCCTTTTCATTTTTTGTACAATATAATGTCAAAACTTGCAGCAATACATTTATCTTCATGTGAGAGTAGTGACCAAACACTTTCACTTGGCATACTCTTCATCAGATATTAATAACCTTGGTGGTACCTTGCAATGGTATTACTGCCCTCATTTTGAGTTGAAGGAAAAATGAACAGTTATGTAAAATTTCTAACAGTTTTTTACCTTTTCAATTACACATATGAAGTCTCAGGATTCTCTCATTACAAGGGAGATAGAAGAACTAGAGTAGTATTAATCAGTTGTATTGTATTTATTCTGTCCTTTAATGAATGTAATGTCATGTGAATCTTTGAGCAAATAGGATGCACCAGGCAATGGTCAGCCATTACACGTAATGAAAATGAAAGCCAGCTGAATCCACGTGTTGCATCTTTAATTGCCCAGTGATAATTCTTGTAACACATGTGAAGTCAAGATGACTTTCTGGGCAGCAAGACAAACAAAAGCATTTAATTTTCAACATAGTGGAGGAACAGGAGGACTAGCAGACAAGACTACTGAGCTAACCACGGGTGGCAAGTGGTTAAAGTTCATCCGAAACCTACCGTCATCATCATAGAAAGGGGCCACTCTTAAGCTTCTGTGGCCAGGCCCTTTGTGCCTTCAGGCTTTTTGTAAAAAAGTGCTAAAAATCAGGTAAAATTCTTTTGCAACATGTGCAGTGTTTGCAGTTCATGTAATATGTTTGTATGCTTATTGTTAAAGCTATGGTAGAATAATGAGTCCTTGCTTTTGTGTTGTATGCATGAGTGACTTACGCACTAGTTTGAATTAGGTGTTGCATGCATTGTTTGTTGTAGATCTGAGTGTGAACTACAAGGATGCATGTTCACTGGCATTTAATTGAATGCAATCCATTTACTGCATGCAGCATCATAAAGTCACACCTCCCCATGCCAAATAAAACATTATGTTGCACTTTGTTTTAATAGCAATAGGTCAGAGGATGGAAATACCTCATATCAGCAGTGGACCCAAATCCAAACTCTGATCCCAGTACTCTACATTAACTCTATTGGGATGAGTAGCTTGAAAGGTATTCCTCTCCAAATTGAGGCCTGAACTTTATTAATAAAATTATTAAACCAAATCCATTTATGCCAATATCCCTGGAGGAGAGATGGTGGAAATCCAAATGTTAGAGCTGTATTTGAGTCCAATGCTAAACAATATGGAACAGTTTAGTTGATGTAGTGTTTCACCTGTGTCTGTGTTGTTTGCAGAAATTGTCAGCAAGCATCACTGAACAAAGGGTGGAAGACATTGAAAAGCAAGAATGTGTCTCCTGTGATTCTTGAAGGCTGATAGGTAATCTGTTATCTGCAGTGAATTCTGTATTCAGAGTCCTGCTTAATATGCTGTCATGATTAAAGGTGAGTGTGTTTTATTTCTGCCTTCTTCCATGAGAACTCTGGGTGTGGGGTGATGTTAGGAGATGGCAGAACATATAGACCATTTGCAGTTGCAGGAAGAGGTGGGCACAGCTACTTCAGAGTCAAAGATGTGGGAAGCATGAGATGCTAGCTGCTGCTTGGTTCACCAGGAAGCAGGAGTCTTAAAAGTGG